GAAGGATGGGGTCGGGGGAAGCAAAACAGGTCTTGTCAGAGAGCCGAACTCCCTTCTCTCTCTCTCTCCTCTCGCAGGCCACGTCAGGACCTTTACAGCCTCTTGAATATCAGAATGTTCTTGGGGTAGAGGTAATAACGCTGCGGCTTTGGGCAGCCTGACAGTTATGGAGACGGTTGCTATGCAGAGCGGGTGAGTCACAGCCTCCAGATTCCTTCTGGACTTTGCTTTCAGTCCCCGCTGGTCTCCTGCCGCTAAATCCAACCCGGCCCAAGGCCTCCTTTGATTATGAGCACCGCTGCGCACTCCTGCGGGCTCGCTCGGGGCCTGACCTGTGTGTAGAACATTCCCAGGAACAAGCTCCCCTCCGCCCCCCTCCAAGGAACTGGATGAGGGCGGCCGCTGCACAAAGACGCTCTCAGAGCTGCTGGGCGGTGGGAAAATCGTCCCGCAGGCCCTGGGGGCCGCATTCCAGGAGGCAATTTGGAGCAATCATCCCAGAACGATTAGGCTGGTGTCTGCCCTTGAGACCAGAGGGGTGAGTTTGTCAGGAGTCCGAAGCCCCTTCTCTGAGGCAGAGGCTGCAGAGCCTGGGACCCTGGGGGCCAGTGCCACCGACTGGCTGGTGGCCTGCACGAGGCCAGACTTCCTTAGAGACGGTGTTGCATCTTCATGGGAACCCAGCAGCCTGCTCAACAGAGTTGCAACCCTCACCTCCTTGAGAATCCCAGGAATGTCTGGTGTGTTCACAGCAGGGCCTGAGGGAGGATCCCCCCTTCTGGGGGTGGTGGGAGGATGACTCTGCCCTCACAGCCCCTCACCCCAAGGCTGTCAGCCCGGCCTGGCTCCCATTGGTTAGAAAAGGAGAGGCCCGTGAACCCACAGTCAAAGGCCACACTTGAAACACAGTTCTGGGGGCTGGTGTCTGTGTGCGTGCATCTGTGTGTATGTGTGGGTTTCTGTGTGCACATGCCTGTATGCTGGTGTATCTTTGTCTTTGCATGCGTCCATTTGGGTATCTGTCCTTGCGAGTCTGTCTATATGTATCCGTGTCTTTGTGTGTGTCTATGTGCATCTGTGTTTAAGTATGTGTCTCTGTGTATATGTCTGCGTATATGTTTGTGTGCACAGGTTTGTGTGTGTACTTGTGTAACTGTGTGTCTGTATTTTTGTATGTGTGTTTGTGTCTGATCTGTGTGTATCTGTGTGCACGTGTACTTGTGTGTATCTTTGTGTGTATATCTGTTTGTATCTTTGAGTGTGCGCGTGTGAGGGAAGGAGGACAACATGGCACTGAGCAGCGTTTCTCAAGCCCACAGGCCTGGACCAGGCTTGATGGGGAGAGTCTCTGACAGCAGCCTCCTGGTAAAAAGATCTGGAACTCCGACCCAACCTGCAGGGCTCTATCCCCTCCTCACCCCCCTCTGACGGTCATAACCAACCGTCCAGCTGCAGAACTTTCTGGTTTTGTTTTAGAAATGATTACACCCCAGAGATAAGAGAGCCTTCCAAACACACCCCTAATAAGGCAAGGGGGTTCTCTGGGTAAGTCATAGCAGGCGCTGCTCATGTTCAATTTCTGTAATTTTCATTTCAAAGGGAAAATAAATGAGCAGGCAGTGTCAAACAATCTCATGAAACACCAGGGCTGCTGGGGGGGCTGGGAAGGGGAGCTGCCAGCACCTCTTTTAAAGAAGCCACAGAAGCAGAGTGTACCCTCCCACCCCACAGATCTCCCTTAGGTGGGACAGTTGGCCACATGCCCCTCCTGCAGAGGTGAGCCTCAGTGGGGGGGTGGGGGGAGGCTGGC